GCATGGAATCGCAAGATCGCGCGCCAGGACCAAGTTAGAGGAAGCAGGTAGCCCCCTCCGAAGAAGGACGGACGGAGGATGGGGTCTCGATACACCTCGACAGCGTGGAATGCGAAAGCGTGGGTTCGGTTCGGGCTGAAACGCGATCTCGATCCGTGTCGGAGCAGCCTGGGCCGCAAGGGCCCCCGGGGCTAAATGAGCGCGAGCGCAACGGTACTGGGCCCCTCGTTCGACTATTCTCTTGGTACAAACGCGCTCTTGATCGTGTATTATGGACGCGTGTTGTGGTACGTGGATCGAGCGTTTTCACTGTTCCCTCGCGGTGGAACAACGCGTATTACACGCACGTACTACAGCTCTCGGGGGAACTGGAAAGTGAACCTTGTGCGCAGGCCCCCCTCGTGGGACGGCGTTCGTTATTCGTTGACTCTCTGTGTCCCGACAACAGGAGGGAATCTACTTTCTCCCTGGATCCCGTGTTACGATCCTATCCGCCGATGCGTTGATTCTAAATCGACCGAAGTTCTTGGTAACGATGAGAAAATAGGGGACGAGACCGTGGACAGATCGAATTGATTGGTAAATTAAGGACACTTCTCTCGATCTGGTAAATGGAAGAGAGGATGGAAGCTGCAACACGGTTTAATACGACGTTCAATGGTATTTTTTGCTGATGGATTTTTCGATCTAGGTCTGATATCTGATTCGAAGTACAGAAGGACGGAACAAAGGGCGCTGGATGGGTACGTTGAATTGGATGACTGATCAGGGACACGTGAAACGGGGAATAAAAGAGAAACCATCGTAAAGTTTATAGTTTCCATTATAGATGTTCAGATTAACACAACCCCTTGATACAAGAACATCGAACCGCGATCAAACACATTTCTGCACGCATACGAATAACGGACTTCGATTCAATTCCTGGACCGTTCTTTTTTCTTCTGGTTTGGTTATCGAGTTATAAAACTGACCACTGTACCTTCCACCAACGCTTCAGCGCGTCCCTTACAAATCAAAAGAAAAAAACTATATAGCCAGAAGTATCTACACTAATTCGACGCACACCCTCCCCCGCGTCTCGTGCTCCAGATTTACGTACCGGCCCCGCCTGGCGAACGAGGATCGCCGCTCTCGGCCCGTTTATGAGACGTTTAATAATAATCGCAGAAGGGTGCACACACGATTTCGCTCTACATACGAACAAGACATTATTATCGTTTTAAATAGACGCTCGGATTCGCGCTCCGCCACCTGACCCACATTCCGACCACCGTACCATATGATACAACATACGTTTTTCCGTTCCCGTGGTTAACGAGTCGACCAAGCCAGGTTACGGAAAATTAAACGCTATCGAGTCGTCGTATGCAAATGTCCGCCGAACTGCTCTGTGCAACCAGAAGAGTTTCGATATTCGAACCGATTCGTCCCACCCCCAAAGGATCAGCAATGTGTTCCTCGTTGGCGGTGGTCGCATTGTTAACTGGGTTGAATGGCGCGCAAAACCGTCGGGCTAGGTTGAATGAGGTGGCCCGAAGGCAGGTTAACCAGTCCCCCTCGAGAGAATGCACGATGACTGACTTAACTGGAGTGGATAGAGCGCGTCTGGGTCCACGGGTATAAATAGACGCTACCACTTACCCGTCAATTCAAAGGGAACATAAGACTGTAAGCTTCTAGTCGCGAGCGAATAACGCGGCTCAAAGCCTCCGGCAGGTCACGAAGCGGCACCGATAGCGAACCGCCACCATCCAGTGGCGTAACTAGTCTCTCAAGGTCGACGGAACGGGAGAGACACAGGCGAGTTTCCGATGGCAGTCAACCAGTGAATTGATGTAACGACTGTACAGACGCTGGGAGATTAGACTTATAGATTTAGCAGCTGATTTTTAATGACACGAACCGTTTTACGTTGGATTGAAGGCTGAATGTGACGGGGTCTCGTTAAGTGCGCGCTGCTACTGCGAGAGATTTCTCTTTAGTGTACATTCGTTATTTAAGATAGATACTTGGGAAGGATAATCGTAAGTCTAAGGGGAAAGACGACCTATTCGTTTATCCGGAATTACCTTTTCCAATTTTCCCTGATTATTGTGATATTTACTGCGAAAATAAAGGAGTTTCGTTAGGTATGGAGAAATTTGATGGTAGAGGAGTTAAGCAGGCGATTCATTTGGAGGAAGGGTAGTGAGATATTATGCAGGGACTTTATGAGGTCGATCACGTGAGGAACCGGACCGCCATTGTTAATGCGACAGAATCTACCCCTACGATCTAGAAACAGTAGACGGTTTTACGCTTATCAAAAGAATCACCAGTTCGTGCTACGATCTCTAAATTTACGAGAATTGCTGCTCGAGTAATTACACTTAGCCCCCCTATGATCCGATTGTATTCCTTTCTGAGCAGTCTTTCGTAACAAAACAGGTTTCATGAATTAACGTTCAAGCATTAACGTGTTACTTGGCGAACGTGAGTTAACTCGTCATTTTTGCCTGACTAGACGCAATAAATCTTGTACATACAGACGAGAGTTCAAAGTCCCGCAGCAAGAAGACTAAGAGAAAGAACGTCACAGTTTATAGTTACATTCTACACTTGCACGCCTCGGTATGTATGTACATATCCGCGCAATAGGCTGATCCTAACAGTTCCGAGAATCGACTTGAGTCATCAGATCGCGATGTTAGATAAACCGATCGCGAGAAATCGAAATTCTACGCCCCTGGGCTGCCCAGAGTGCCATGAACTCCGATTACGAGGATCGGAGTTAATCATTCCTAATTTATGCCCAGTAACTGCACAGCTAGCCGCGCTTGAAACGGAGAGGGAGGGGGGCAGGCCCCGCCGAGTTGCCTGGAAATGCCATTAGAGCACCGTTTCCGGATGACAATGTTCCGTTGACTGGAAACGCGTGTCCCCGTGCAACCGCCTAAGTGTACAAAATGACGTTTCCAATGCGTTCGTCGTCGCTAGAACGCCAGACACCCGAACGATTTATATATTTACATGTACAATCGAGCACGGTGATTCAGTGCAGGGATTTTTCGGAGACGCTGACGGCCCTCAAGCCACTAATCCAAGAAGGGCAGAGTTAATGGCCTAATTAACCCCGACCGATACTGGGTCAAACGATTTTTTTATTGCTTTAAAGCGATAGAAACTTATTTGTGATGAAGGCTATGCTTTAGAAAGCCTCTCAACGAGACGAGTAATATCGTGAGCTATGTAAATGGACCCTAATCCGGGGAAGAAGGGTCTTCTGTTCGAATCGACTCGATATATGAGCCATTCACAGGCCAAGATTGGTGCTTAACTTTTCATATATATTATTTATTATATATCTCGCAAATGAATTCAGGGAAAGACGAACAAGACAAATTAACAACACGAGATCAGTACACTAAACCGAGGCGAGGGGCTTTCTCTAATCCGTGAGACGAACTACACACGAGAATCCTGAAGATGAATTTTCTACAAGAATTTACTAAATTTCTCTCGAAGTTAAACAACTGTAATTCTTATAAAGATTGCACGGAATCAGTGCAATAATCCAAGGTGAGAGGCTATCCCTAATCCGTGGAGGTGTGTACCGAAGGATTTACGGCGGCGCGTTCTCCAAGAAATTATACCCTAGTAATCGAAACACCCCGAGGCGGGGAGGAATATACAGCGCACGCCAGAAGCATAAACGATTTTTCAACTGGCAGTTTATCAAAGCCACGCATCGGTGAATCGTCGACGGGGACGATCGTTCAGGCACACCGTGTGCGTTCGTTCGTTGCCTTCATAGGCTGGGGACATGCTCGATTTGCCAGGGTCCCTATGGCGGGGACACACGAAGCCGGTGGTGTGTAACCTCGCATGCACGGCCGCCGGAGCTTTATAAACCGAAGACATCGTCGTCTCGACGGCTCGTTAGCGGGTGGAGTTATTAAGTGGTCGCTCGTTAACGACACAGGGCGGTCGTTAGCCGTGGGTAGGAACGGAACGTAGACCGGAACGTACTCTCGACCATTACTCGGACGTTATCGATAAGTTGCCCGTGAATAGGCAGAAACATTAATGGATATGTCGAAATGGAGGGTGGTGGGGGGCAACGGTCGACTTCACGAGGGAAGGTAAAAAGAAAAATAATAAATTGGCGGTGGAACTAGATCGAGCTACTTCACAGTAGTCCAGAATAAAAACTTAGCAGTTCATACAATAGGTATACAGCTCGGGGAGTTAAAAATATTGGAACTTATAAACTTTACTCGAATAGAAGTAAATCAACATATTTTTACCAATTTTATATTTGGTTTTTTACCAATTATGCGTTCCCAACATCTTCGTGAAAATTTGTACTTTTAGAGAATTTTGTCTATTGTTTTTTACTGAGATTAGCAATACTCCCGTGGTTAATAATAAATTAATATGAGTTTCTTGGGAGGTTAAAGAAATTTGTTTAACCACTTGAACTGCTGAATTTTGATTCTGGACCATTGTGTACCCCGGAGAGCACTTACGTAATTAACACGATCTAATGGTAAATTAAATCAGTTACACACAGCTCTACCCGAGGTGACAATAATTCTTCAGGAAACATAAACAGTTAAGGCATACACCTCGCCAACAGAAACAATAACACGAATTATCGTTATTTCCCCTAGCGGAAGCAGAGTTTGCTCGTGAGGGTACATCGATCTCCCGATTTCGCGCGATCGCTGAAAGAATCCTTGAACTCGTTTAACGGTCAAACGTGGTCCTCGGTCAGGGCACGGTCACAAGCATAGTATAATTGATCGGTACGAAAGTGTCTAACACCGCGGCGGCTACGGCGGCATTACATAAAACCCGTTCAGGCAGGAGGAGGGGGGCAACAAGTGTGTACGTGTGTATATGTAATGTGTGTACGTATGTGTCTGGTCTTATCCTCTCGGTCAATGGCATGCAGCGTTAACGCGACTACAAAGATGGTATCTCTCTGTCGGCCGTGCGACTTCTCGCCTCCTTACCTTGACCGTTCGAGTGATTTTGCTGGGGCGACTGGGGCTGGCCCTGCGTCAATATAATTTGACTCTCGAGCTGCTGAAGCTCCGCCTGGAGCTCGTTCAGCTTGCTGTTCGCCTTTTTCACGATCGTCGCCACGTCCGAGAGCGCTTTACGATCGGTCGCGACTTCCCTCAGCTTCTCGGCGCCTGCCTTTATTTTCAACTCCTGCAACACAGAGTGAACAACGGGTTCGGTTCGTTTTCACGGCTGCAAATAGTTTTCTCTACTAGCTACTAACCGTTCCCTCCCCACCCCCAACACCACCCACCCAGCGTGTTTTATTCGGCCACCGGTCGAATCTGCATATACACGCGCGTCCTTCAAGCATGGCCGCTTGGATGATCCATTTACAGGCTACTGGAAGTGTTTTTCTCTTTCAGATTCCAGGAAAGAAATTGCTTGGAAAATTGGTTCGTCAGTTTGGTCATTTACGTTGAATAAGGGGGGGGGGGGGAATTCTTGAAGGGGGAATACGGGAACGATTTAACCCTTTAACGCCGAGTGTTACAACGGTACAATTCTGTCGCCAGATGATAAATAACTTTTGTTAGCAGAGATCCGTAGTTTCCCTGATGTGAAGTAGATCTTCACGTTTTTAGAAATTCAAGTATTCCTTCGAAAAATAAATGCAAGGAAAAAAATGAAAAAAAAAAAAAAATAGGTTTGTTTAATATCGATATTTTCGACTTCAAAATAATGATACGATATATACGATCCACCAATCAGACCTTTTTGTCCATTGTCTCATCAATGTATCATAAAAACGGAAGAGGAATCGTTTTCGCCAGTCATCGAGAACGAATGTGTATTTACGTACCTGCGTCGACTGGCCCGAATCAGAAGCGGAATCTCGCTTCACGGAATTTCAGACGCAACACAATTATTATCACATCGGATCTATCGATCGTTTAAGCGCGTCCGTCTCGCCATACGTCGTGAACCACTCCTCTCTCCCGAGGCAAATGAGACGTAAAATTATACCAACGCTCCTCTCTCTTTCTCTCTGCCTATCCTTTACGTCCTATATTATCCTCTATTAGATTTGCCATAACTTCTCCCCGCGAAATCACACCTGACGGGGGCCCCACGGTTGCACCTTCTAATCACGGCTGCGAAGCCGTGAATAATATTTGCGGGCTACGTTTAATGAAACGATGACCTGCTTCGGGGACTGTTTCGTCTACAATATATTTTTCGAGGCGGTTCGTTACTTCTGGTACACCGTCTGATATACCTGGTGATCTAGATGGAGGATCCAAGAGTTCGAGAATACTGACTCGAGTCATAAATACAGGGTGAGAAAAAATAAATGCGTTGAAATTTGAAATGTCCAGGATGCAAAATTTTGTCAATGTATTTCAGTTGTTATTTTTTTTTATTGATTAGTCCATACTTTAATCTTCATTAGAGCCTAACTTCTAGGGTTTCAATCCTGTGTCATCTGTTTTTAACGAGATTTCGAACAAACGTGCTCAGATTATTGCATTCTATAATGCCGGAAGGCGTCAGGGCAGAATGGCCTTTATACCAGAGTAGGGCATTATTTAGAAAAAAAAAATTATGTAAATAACGATTCGAATAAAAGATACTTTATCTTTATTTGACAGTTTGAATATAAAATTTGTTTATCTCTTATTCGTTATTTGAAATTTTTGTTTAGATGAAAATTTTGCTCTCGAAATTTTTTCCTCGAACGAGAGGAAAGGAAAGGGGAACCTGGAACTTGTTTCTACGCTAATAATATCTGGGACCACCCTCGAGACTTTCTGTCTACACATCAATCGCGTATCCTTCACTTCGTTTCTGGCATTGTGATACCCGAAAATTATTAGATATACCAATAAGTAACCCATTATTTCTTATCAATAAACTGATAGTACGATTTAATACAATTTTCTACCCCTTTCTTCTTTCAAACTGCCGATGGACATTGAAGAACCAGGAGAAATATCACTGAAACAGCCATAAGCTTCTGATCCGTTCGAAAATAAGTATTGCATCTGACGAAATATCAGACGTTCATTTGCCAAAGTGATCCAGTCCACAAAAATGATCAAAGAAATTTCATGTTAAACATACAAAGTTAAGGACGAATCAAGTGTTCCGGTAACAATAAACAACTTCAAAAGGTGGAGTTAGTCACTTTGACCTCAGAACGGCTCATACAGTGGATTACTTACCGGTACGTCTAATATTAAAAAAAAAAACGATTAAAATTATCATTTCGCGCAAGGGGTGAAATTTAAATACTTCTGACAGCTTAATCAATTTTCACAGCCTACCAATCACCAGATCAAATCAATGAACCGTAAGGTTAGCCTCGGGAGGCCAAGCTTTATCTCATTTCGGCAAGGGTTCTAACGAGTTTTCTTTTCCTCCCTCGGAAATGACCATAAATTCTGTCCTGGATCCATTAGTCACGTGGATCGTGTCGCTGTTGGTTTTCAACGGGCACGCCACGGATCTACGGTGGTCTGTGACACATAGCTGGGGTATATTGGATTCCACCTCCGTCTTTTCCGTCCACGAAAGAGGATAGGACACACTGTGAAGCACAAGAGGACACGAAGGAAACGAGGGGAGGGTTGTTCCTTCCTTCTCTCCTCCCTCCGGTTCGTTTCTTTCGTACGCTCGCGAGGGATCGTGTACTGGTGCGATCGGTGCTACCGTGTATATAAGATGGCTCGACGAAACAGAGAGAAAGAGTAGGAGAGAGAAAAAAGGAGAGCTTCGGAGAAGAGGCGTACGGCTGAGAAGGATAAGCGAAACTCGACATACCTTGCGTATTTCTCGGCGTATGTGCTCCCGGAGCTCGTCGAGACGAGCCGGCAAGGGCACCTGGTCACTGCCAGCCACTCCATACTTGCTCGACAGTTCGTAAAGAACCGGGTGCCTGATGTAATCGCCCTGAAACAGATCCCGAATTCGATTATTCGACGCCAATTTCGGCTCGACTTTATCCCTGCGAAGTGTACATAAAGCTTCTGATAATAATAACCGGACTGCTGATTTTTGTACGTATTTATAGGTTTTATTAAGGGGTTACACACATTTGATCTGTTAAATAAGAGAGGGAATTAGAAAATTCTTCTGTGTATGCAAAATTATTGTTTATTAAAAATCTTCTCATGTTATTTCCTTAGATTGGTTCAGTAGTCGTTTAAATATTTCTGGTACCCATTTTGAAGACAGCATTTCGAGCAAAACGCTTTTAAATGGCAGCCATTTGCTTCTGTTTATATACATAATACCTAAATTTTTCAGAAATTACTAAGGGAATAACATACGATAAGATATATATTATTTTTGTACAAGATACCAGAAAGATACAGTGAGAGGATTAAAAGTAACGTATATGTTTCGAAACTGCATTTGAACAGCTCAACCTGAAACCTCCTCTAATTTTGAAACCCTCGAATGAAAATATACAAAGCATTGTTCATTTTTCTTTTGTCACTGAACAACAGAATTAGAACTTCTGCAATAAAAAAAAACGGTAAAAAAAAAAGCAAATGATCGAACACATCGGAAATCGTTCCCTGACCAACTATATGTACCAATCAATTACACGGTCACACCCTCTATAACAACCGGTGACATTTAAATGAACTGTTAATGGGTTCGAACCACCCCCAGTAAATTCTTAATCCGTGTCATCGTCCCACGCATTCGACACTATTTCCAACCGCGGCGGCCGGTCGAAATTAGCATCGACGTTTGCATTTTTCCGCGAACCACGGGGAAGAACCGATACCTTGTAAATTTGCGAAGGAAAACACACCGGTGAACGTGGCAGCGGTAGCTAGCGCGCCGCCGGAAATTGTCTGGCGCGTAGCACGGATGTACACACAGACACACACAAACACAGACACCAGGGTCGCGTCTCCTACACGTTTCGCAGGCAACAATTGTGTAAAATATATATAAAAAAAACTTTCCGAGTTACACGGTTTTAAATGTGTACATAAAAAAAATTAAATAGAAAATAAAATATGTACAAAAGAATGCACTAAAAAGTAAAATAATTTTTACTATTTAGTATACTTTTTTGTATGTCTGTTTTTATTTTCTATGTCATTTTTTTTATATACATATTTAAAACCGTGCGACTTAAAAGGCTTTTTTTTATATAAATTTTATTTTACACTTTTTAGTGTTTTGCGGTTTTGTAACAAATGTTTCGTGAGATATGTATTGAAACGAATGCGTTGACAACATTATTATTACCGGCAAAAATAGATTTCTTGGGTTCAGAAATTATAATTTTATTTAATCTATCGACTCAAATTTCTGAAATATTGTTCGGTAAATCGATGAAAATCGGTTCGGTAGAAGTGGGTCAAAAATTGATTTCAAGATTTGACGAAGACAAACAGAGGACCCAACCTAAATAAAACCGTGTAATAATAATTAAAGAAAACTCTGCAGAAAATATTGATATTTTAGAACGTTCCACTGAGGGTATCGTCTCGCTGCACACTTTTTATCAGGGCTAGTAATACCGTTAATCGATCGATATTTCGAATCGTTCTCGCTCCTAGTTAACCTTGATAAAAAATTATGCGATCAATTAAGATCGGACGATCGGTTACCTTAATCATCCCACCTTTTATTGTGACTTATATCCTGTAAATACTGAATTTTTAACCCTTAATGGGATTCAACTGCATATTAATTATCCAGGGTCGTTTAGTGTGGAAATATCGAGCTCCCTTAACACACGGAGCGATTGCAGACCTTTTGGGCGGCAGCATATATAGGAAATTAAGTTTCATTCGAGGCATATACGGTGACTTTTATATCTACATTAATATATTTAACTCGAATGAAATTTAATTTCGTGTGTACACTAACGAACAAGGTACTCGAATTATTTTGAAACGAATACAGACTTTCGCAAAAAACAATAGACTACCTATTAATCCACCTACTGTTTTCGATAGTATGCATGAATCGAACGATATCATTCTGACCGAAAAAGGAAAGCGTTTTCAAGCACATTCCCTTCGTTCTTTTTAATGTTAATTATGATTAAGTTTAATTCTATTATAATACGTTCTATCCGTTACAATAAATTATTATTATTATAACATACCACGCACGGTGAAATGCAGGTCCACACACGCCTGGGTTTGCAGCCCGTGATGGCGGGCAAGTGACCACACGATTTCGACTTCTTTTTCATCTGGTGCACCGAAATAAACGACATTGTTCAACTTCGCGGCACGACGATGTTATAAATAACAACCACGGAATTCCAACTTTATCCCTCCGTTCCTTACCGGTTACCGGGGGCACAAGAATTTACATTTTCCAGCGCGAAAATCCGACCACCATTCCCATTGGCATCGAAATCACCGCCGATAACGAACCCGCGCAATTTGCGTTCCCTCGTAAATCGATCGTTTCACTAATTTAAGAACAATCACATGGACGTCTCGATCGCTCGTTGGAATCGTTGGATCGAAACGAACGAGCGCGATTCAGATCCAACTAGTGTATCCTTCAGCACTTCGATAGAATATGGCGTTCTAGTGATGGAACCAAGTTCAATATTGCGTACCCGAATATTAAATAATCTATCCAAGATTTATTTCACTTCGTTCAATTAATACAGGTAAAAAAACGAATGAGGTAAATCAACCGGTAATTAACTGCACACCAATAAATGACCATTAGGTAAGAAATGTACAAAACAAACGATATCGAATTTGTTCGAATCATTCGAACAATCTTTAATACTAACTGCACAGATTACTGAATGCAATAACAACCCAATGATAAGTACATCAATGAATACGACACTATCACCATTTAAATTTAGCTCACTACAATATTTAATTTGTAGCTCATACAAGCCTATGCAATAGCAACTCGATCGTTAATGACTACATTTATCTAATTCGTGGAATTCGAATTACATGCAGTCGTTAAGGTTCGATAACGCCCGCGATCGTACTCGGTGCTCATCACTAGGGCGCCGTTCCTCGACCACCTGTTGCAGCAAAACTACGATTTTACGAATGCTTTTTATCCTCCCAATGATATCCACGAATGCACACCACTGCTTTTCTTTCTCAACTGTGCCACCTTTTTTTTATCGACACTTGTTGAACATCCATAGAACGACTAGATTCTAATTATATGTATACGCGGTACACGCGTCACTCGAATTCGACCATTCATGCAAGACTGAAAACGGCTTCGCCGATGCTCTTTATCTCTTATCGCGAGCTACGATAACAACGACTCTCAACGACTTCCTTCAGGTGAGAAAGCTTCACCTTTGGGTGAATTCCAACGATTATTCAGATCGATGAATATAGCAGCGCCGCGGAGCTGTTAATTATTACCGGTTGGAACTTGGAAATGCTGTTATATAAGTGGCATGAATCATTGGCACGACGTGTACGGAACAACAGTGCAGTGATTCGCGCGACTGATACGTAAATACACGATGCTTATAAGTAGATCGTCGATCCTTAACAACGATTGATACGTTAGCCATGGATGGTGGTCATCGATGACTAATACATCCAGCTCTCTGGTTGTACGCCTTATCGATCACAGGTGAACAATCATCTATTTCTATTTGGATCGATAAACATGAAGAACTTTCGAAAATATTCATATTTATGAATTAACGAATTTCTTCACCTTCGATATTGCAGTAAACATTGTGACCGATCTGAGAAAATGTTCATTCCTGTATCATTTTAATCATGGTTATGACGAAATACTAATGAGTTATTTTGACTGCTTTGATAGTTCCTGGTATTAATTGTACAATAATCCAATGGGTGATCGGAAAGTCAGGTGAAATACACTTGATATTATCGAAATTAATTTGTCTTATATTCTTACTTTCCTGAACAACCTCTATAAAAATTCGATTCTTCCCTTGCGATAACGGTGTTAAGTCCCATTCCCATGAAAACCACTAATCTTCTATTCGTCAGTTCCAATATCAAAGTCAAGGCGTTATAATATCCTCATGAATTAGTCAACAGTCGTCTGGTCGTTAAACGGTCTTGTGTAACACGTGCAAACCGTTAAATATCACGAAGCAAGGAAAATGCATATTTCAGAAATGAGTGTGATCCTTCGAGGCACACCTCGGAAGAGAAAGTACGTAGCTACGTATTTTTTTTATCCTTTAAAACCGTCAATTTTCCAAATTCTTCGTCTCCCCGAAACTCAATATCCCATTCACCCACCGTTCCGAATACCTCGGCAAAATCCGTGCCGCTCGGTATAATTATCGTTATTTTCCTTGGCAGAGAGTTGCATATGGGCCCGCGTCTGTGCTTCGGAACAACCGTTCACCCGAAAAACCGATCGACCCAGGCTCCTCCATATCCTAAGGTATCGCATATACATACACACCCAAGAACGTCGCTGCGTCGGGCGTAGAAGTTTTCGTAACAGGCAATAAAACGTCCCCCTTGTGGTGGGTGGAACGATTTAAAGAAGCAACGAACCCCGAGCGAACGCGTGCACGCCCGATCTCCATGATCGTGTGTGTAAATACGTCCATGTGTGCGCGTGCGTTTGACATACTGACGCATAAGCTATTTCCATGCATTCCGTAATATGTGTGCCACGCATAACAATCCGGAGAGGTCAACACTCGTTACATTACTATTAAACAAAGCCATCGAAATTCCCCATGGGCCGGAAGTGTTCCGTGGTCCCGGTCGATAATGTCGGGTGTTACCGTCGAGTCATTCAAACGACCTTTTTTTCTTTATACATACTTCCAATGCAAAATGGATCGGTAGGACTGCGAGCAGTTCTGCAAAGTCACATTTTTTATTGGTCGATTTAGAAGACCCGTGTTCGCTTTTATTAAGAACAAACTTTCGTGAAATATATTTTTGTAATATCGCGATAGTTACGGAAAGCACGAGGCAATTGAATGGACTCTATCGCGTGACTGTATATTACAGTATAAAAGGTTACGTTCGTTGTTAAAACACGCGATCTTCTAATGACGTACTCCCGTTTCATTTGCACGAACGGGATACCGTCGATGGAAACTTTACGCTCCCCAAAAACCTCTAATCATAGGAGCCCGACTATGGCCGTTATGATTAATCGCCGTAAGAAAATAGAACTTGGGATTAGTAGCGCGCTGTGCGCGCGCGGGGGGGCCACCAGACGACGTGGTACAATTTTATTTTTGGGTTACGCACAGTGCAAAGCATCCGCTGGCGAATTGCGAAAGTCTCCGCGCGTGTATGTCCCTCTCCACGAAGTCGGGACAATCAGGCGCGGTACGATGACGATCGTGGAACTGCGCTAACCAGCGGTATCCGTCGAAATTTTTACTTCGGATCGAAAACTTGAAACGTCTGTTTCAAGGCTTTGCTAAATATACAAACTTGTACAAACGTTATTTGAATCGCTACTCGGCTACGGAATATGTGTCCATGATTGTAAATGTACTGTTCAGATACCGAAGGATTTTTTAATGACGTCGGTCACCGGTGACCATCTGTGGCAATTAACGCGATCCGTGAACAGAGCCATTTTGTGTGTCATATTATCGTGTGACGGTAAATACGTCAGAATCTATTGGAAATCAGACACAAAAATTATACCTCTAGTATTTAATGAATATGAAATAATGGAAATGGCCCGAAACCTCGACTGATAAACGATTTTTTTCTGTTTAAACATGAAAGTATAAGATATAAACCGGTGATCATCGATGCATTGATGTAATCGCAGCGATGCGTTAACTTTTAAAGTCTGGACGAATCTCGTCAAAGACGAAGAGAGGAACTCCTTGAATCCACCAAAGTTCTATATATTTTTGTTTGGAAAACATTCTCTAAAAACAAATATACCAAGAATAACGAATTTTTTTCGCTATTTTATTGCCGACGTAATGAGTCCTCTGCCCAAGTTGGCAGTAAAAATGTTTTTATTATATTTCTGATTATTTTCACTCCTGAGTATTCCAAACAACAATCTTCGTCTGACACTACTATCGCTAATTCGAAAAATATCATTATTCTTTGCTACCATCCTCACTGCTACTTTCTATTACCACTTTTTCAATGTCACAGCTATGACTGTGTAATTGCCAGTGATTTCACTCATAACCACTGTTGCCGATTTTCGTAACATCCTCACTCAGTCAAGACCAAAAGTGATTCGTAGATACCAAACTTAAAGACATACGCGGCAGTATATAATATCTTCGAAAGATATTCGTCAAATACTATATTTTTATTATTTCCTAACCGGTGGATTCGCCGAGTCCCCCTCTCCAAGCTTAAGGTTAAGTCAGCGCTGTGTAATGGAACTACACACGGTCAGGCTCCTGTCAGAATGATTCTCAGCCCGTTGCTCGGCTATGCTTCTGACAAACGCTGCCGTGCGACTATTCCCGTAACGTCATGAAATACCACTTGCCGACAGAAACAGGTGCTACCGGGGGGCTGTTTGGAAAGTTCTCAGGAGTACATTAAACGAATCTAGACAGACGTCAGGTGCACGGAACCCGTCGCGCCTCGTTTAACGTAGACCGGGGGGCTCGGAGCGTTGGAGTCAGGATCACACTTAAGGAATCACCCGAACGTCTTTGAGAGAACACCGTCCCGGAGATCGGGGGAAGGACAAGTGCGAGACGCGTCGTCGAGGAAAGGAACGGCCGAGAAAGAATGGAAGGAAGGAGATAGATCGGTTGAATCACGACCGCGGTGATCTTTTATTATGGCGGCTGGAATGATCGGTCGGGCGGCGACCAACGCGCGCACCAGTTCGTAAAGAGAGCGTGGATGGACCTGCGACTCACCTGATAATAGCTTGATTCCGCCATCTTGGACACTATACTCCACTCACTCACTCACTGCTTTCTATCCGTCCTTTGTGCATGGGACGACGACCATGTCCATTGTGTGTTTACACGCGTATAGTACGCTCCACCGACCGATCGGCTACCAGTGTCCACATTTCATGTATCTCTGCGATCGTCCGGTTCCAAGAGACGTTCCCCCCGTGAAAATCTCTTTGGATACGATACAACACTGAGGTTACTACTACAGAGTATGAATGAAAGACGCGCGGCTCGCGAACCAAACGACAGACACGAGCGCATTCCACCGCACCAGACTGAAGACTGACGGCGAATGCCGACTGCCCGGCCAATCGTGGCCCAAACGCGCGCGCACTCTGTCTGCACCGCACGCCGCTGAAGGTGCGTGTTCACGGTGTCGCTCGTGTCGCTTTTACGACCCTCGATGAATCGGCCATCGTTGATTGGCCGGTTCCGATGGGGCCAGAAAACGGGCAGCTTTCGCGCGGCAACACTCATACCTTGCGAAAATAACAAAGAATGCTCCCAAATGGGAAGGTGACATTACCTTGTCGAATTAGCCTTACGGTGGGCGCAATTTATTGCATCCTCGTTGCGAAATCATCGGTTGCTATACGCACCGATGAATCCGCAGTCATTCAAGGAAATTCGAATCGGTACGAACCCAGAAGAACTTGCGAGCTCTTCTAAAGTTCGAATTTGTGCGGGAGTTGAACGCTTGGAATTGTTGAAATATTTCATGAGAGTTACCTAATGTGCTTTGATGCTCGCGAGCCACTCGATACGGGAGATCAAAATTACGAATTTATTAAAAATTATTTTACAATTATCTATTTACATGTCTGATTTTATACATTAATACATTGCTAGCTTTTTTATTGTACATTCATTCGGAAAGTAGTATTCGTAAAAGATCTTCTGGTGTCCTTGAGAAGAGTCCATTTGGATTCTGATATAAATTTTTTGGATTATGACAGGCTTCATACAGTTGCTTGTAAGTAGCACCAATTACTTCGAAAGATCGTTTCTGTGTTATTAAACGATGATTGTTGCTTTGTAACAGACTTATTTGTGGTAGTAATAGTACATCTGGCATCACTAAGAAAGTTTCCAGCTTGTTCTACAAAATATTAGAATGTGTTGAAAACATTTATCAATATTTCTTATTTAGTATTTAGACAGTAGAAACTGACTGTAAATTCTTTTACACTCAAGGGATCCATGCCAGGAACAGAAGATAATGGGCCTTGATCATGGCCTTGTAAAATTGTGTAGATTGAACCAAGATTCAAATGTGCTACTAAAGAACTAGCTTGTTCTGATGCGAGAGTGTCAATTTGTGCGTCAGATTGGGCCTGAAATGTACAATAATTTATTATACATGAAATTTTCACTTTAAAATGTATCCATTACCTGTAATCTTTCTAGTCTTTGGTCCATGTATTCGTACAATGCTAAAGTAGACTGTATTTGATGCATACAATTCAGTAGATACACAGCCATGTCTACTGTAGGTAATCTTGATGCAGTTTCATTCACTTCTTGCAGAAGTGGATCAATAATACATGATACTATCTGTAAATAATTTTAAGCATGATTTAATCCACACTGGACATCATAATGTAATTCAATGCTTTCATAATACAAACTTGTAACATGTCCTTCTCTCTATCTTCTGCAATGCTTGCTACAGAGAGTATTTCATTAAGAAGAGCTAATAATCTCGAAACGGATGGAGCCGGTACTAAATCAGTTCCCGGGGGCTCTGCACGTTCACCAAGTGCAATCCGTGTTTCTCTCTGCAGTCTACTAAGAAAACTTTTCTCACTGAGTATTAACAAGTCTGCTAATGTTGAATCCAAGGTACTATCTGGTATTACTTGCTGAATTATGGCACGGTAAAATCTGAGAAGAGTTGTAACTGAATATAATACTGTGGCTGGTCCATCCATAGCGACAACATGTTCTATTCTTGACTTTAAAGGATGACAAAGACCCTCTGTGATATTACTTAAAGATTGTTTAATCTGATCAGATACATCTAAAACGTCAATGTAGAATAAATTAGGACAAATAAAGAGAAAATTACAGTTGTTTGATTCTTACCTGTTTTATCACAGCCTTTTACCAAAGTTAAAATATTTTCCTTTTCAACAGGGATAGCCTGATGCAACCAAGCAAGCATATCACCAACATATCTCTTAGGATCATTTGCATGCATTTCAATAGGATTTGGTGTCCCACCATACCCCTCTCCCAATGTTAATGCATCTATGAAAGATCCTACTAATGCTGTTCTTCTTGCTGCACAATATTCATCTAAGATATATCTAAAAAAAAGTACAAGGAGAAGATGATTCACAAACATAGGTTTACAGTGTGTTGAACTATATTACTATATTAGAGACATACTTAAATAAAACTGGCCTGTCTTGCAATTTATTCATTGCTTTAACTAGCAGTGGTGCTAAGCGCTCATTTTCAATATTTTTACACTGATTCTGTGTCCACCTATACAATCTTTCAAGGGCTGCTTCCTGTAATAGTGTCATTCTTTGCATAATATCCAAACCCAATGTTTGGTACCCTGACTGCATTAGTATTCTGCAACTACTATGGATCTCCTGTAATTTAAAAAATGTATAAAGAGTTTTGAAAATAATTATAGATACATTGTACTCATTCTTGTTGCTTACCTGAACACGATTAACTACAGAAAAAAAATCTTCTGTAATAGGTGATTCCCTGGTGGATCCATGTAAAATGGCTAATTCAGACTGGTTCAATTGAAAATTTTTACTAAATGCATTTGCAACTTCTTGTTGCATAGACAGAGTTTGACTGAAAGCAATAGTATAATATTTTACAATACTTGTTCCATACGAAGATTAATTTGGAGCAGACAATTCAATTCACTACTTAAATATACCTTTTACTTTGAAGTTTTGTTGTTTCTTCAATGAGCTGGGATGTTTGGGTTTTAGTAGTTTGTAAACGGTTTGTCATACATTGTACAGTTGTGTTCATAGCTAAAACGTCTTGATATATATCGTCCAAAGAAGCTTTAACTTCTCTAAAAGCAGAGAGAAATTCTTCGTTTATAGCTAGACTTCGCCTTTCTATTTTGCTGCGTAAATTTCGGCGAGCATTTAACGTGTTCTCCGTAAAGAACGTGGACAATTCCTTTAAAGCCTCAAGTGTATCCTAAAATAAATTAATATTTTAAACCAAAATGTCTAATCACCCCATCTTTTGTATTCAACTACTATACTGGCAAAACACAAATACCTTATCATGTTCAACTCTTGATTCGAGTAACTTATTTACTCGTCGAACCAAGGCGGTGTTAGTACTTTTTTCATTCATTTTATATACGTGGCTTTCTCACCGTCCGTCATTCGGGAACATAACCTATTTATTATAGAAACTGTCACGTATCAGACACTAATGACCAGCAATGACAAACTATAGTTGACTATAGTATATCTTGGTATATGACATGATGTAGCGAGACCGAAGGACAGAAGTAGTGCAGGAGTAACTCCTCTCTTACTCGCCCATCGCAGAGGAATGCTGCACGCATGTAAAATGTCTCCACTACAGCCGTAGTAGAACCCCCACCAACAGCCCCATTAGAAAGAGAAGAAAGTTACTCCAGTGACTGTCCTCTCTTTCTAGTGCCGAATTCATCTCTACCATAAGCCCGCGCAGGTTATTATATATGCACAGAACACATATATACGGACAGCTGTCATCTTCACCAAGCACAAGATTTGAAGTTTAAAAAACGTAGCTTAATCAAATTTATTGCTCGAGAAACAGTAGTCAGAAGAACATTGTTAAAATCATACATAAATGTTTGCAACTGCTGTCACTGGGTCCCGTCAACTACTCCTCGTTTACTTCATATTTGAACAGATCTCACAGTGTGATATGGTCAGCATTCGTCTTGACCAAGCACTCGACGTGTAGCTTAAAGAACGTAGATTAATCCACTGGCATTAATAATAACAATAAACGACCCGAACATTGTTAAAATCGCATTTAATCGCGGAATACCACTATTTTTTTGACCGGTGGAGCCACCCGCGGCAATTCGCTCAAACTGTTAGCCAAATCATACCGACAAGTGAGTGAAAATTCCTAATGATAGAAAAATGCGAATATCTCAGTAATTAAGCACTCAAAATGAACACCGCTAGTTCCAAATTATTTCTGAGTACTTAATGCATGGATTCAATACTGCAAAACCTCAGAATTAGTAAAATTATTTATGACTGTGTTAACGTTGACCCTCACGGAACGACAACCCTCATTGCCAGGTCTCGATCGCCTTTGCAACACTGAATGGGCATCAGTTTTCCTCGTCACGCATTAAACTCGATGTTTAAAGAACGTAGATTAGTACTTTCTAACGGCTAGGAACCAGTAATTACAAGAACATTGATAAAATCACAATTGTTTGTAACGATCGCCACTGTATCTCGTCATGCGTACCCCGCTTAGTTCACTTTGGACAACTCTTCCAACGTTATGCTGACAGGTACCGTCTTGACCAAGCATTCAGTTTGAAGCTAAAAGAACGTAGATTAATCCCCTCTCATTAATAATTACAATAAATGACCCGAACATTGTTAAAATCGCATTTAATTGCGGAATACCACTATTTTTTTGACCGGTGGCGCCACCCGCGGCAATTCGCTCAAACTATTAGCTAAATTATACCGACAGGTGAGTGAAAACTCCTAATGATGGAAAAATGCAAATATCTCAGTAATTAAACGCTCAAAATGAACGCCGTTGGTCTCAAAGTACTCCTGACGATCCCGTGCATCGACTCAATACCTCGGAATTCCATAATCGCAAGAATTATTTCCGTCAATGAGGTATTGTACATACCAACACTAGTAGAAACAATTTGTCTAATTATAAGGTTCTGCTGCATTCGGTCGACGCATTGAATTGTGAGGAATAATTTAAGACTAGGAACCTTAACTTTGAGTGCTTAATTACTGAGATATTTGCATTTTTCCATCAGTAGGAATTTTCACTCACCTGTCGGTATAATTTAGCTAACAGTTTGAGCGAATTGCCGCGGGTGGCGCCACCGGTAAAAAAAATAGTGGTATTCCGCAATTAAATGCGATTTTAACAATGTTCTGGTCGTTTATTGTAATTATTAATGACAGGGGATTAATCTACGTTCTTTTAGCTTCAAACTGAATGCTTGGTCAAGACGGTGCCTGTCAGCATAACGTTGGAAGAGTTGTCCAAAGTGAACTAAGCGGGGTACGCATGACGAGATACAGTGGCGATCGTTACAAACAATTGTGATTTTATCAATGTTCTTGTAATTACTGGTTCCCATCCGTTAGAAAGTACTAATCTACGTTGTTTAAATTTCGAATCTAATGCTTGACCAAGAAAAATGATGCCCATTCAGCGATGCAAAGGTGATCGAGACCTGGCAAGGACGGTTGCCGCTCCACAAGGGCAGCGTTAATACAGTCATAAATAATGTTACTAATTCTGGGGTTTTGCAGTATTGGGTCGATGCATTAAGTCCTCAGGAGTGTTTTGAGACTAACGGCGTTCATGTTGAGTGTTTAATCACTGAGATATTCGCATTTTTTCATCACTAGGAATTTTCACTCACCTGTCGGTATAATTTAGTTAACAGTTTGAGCGTATTGCCACGGGTGGCGCCACCAGTCAAAAAAATAGTGGTATTCCGCGATTAAATGCGATTTTAACAATGTTCTGGTTGTTTATTTTAATTATTAATGACAGGGGATTAATCTACGTTCTTTTAGCTACAAATTGAATGCTCTGTCAAGACGAAAGCTGTCAGCATAGCATTGAAAGAGTTGTCCAAAGTGAACTGAACGGGGTACGCATGACGAGATACAGTGGCAATCGTTGCAAACAAATGTGATTTTATCAATGTTCTTGTAATTATGTCTTTACGTAAATTGTTCACTGAAGTCTCCTGTATTGATACCATTGAAGAGAAATTACTGCTTGTTACGTTATTAAATTAATATTTGTAATGGTGTGCTCGAAAGTGACAGTTGTGTCATCCAACGACAGAAATTAGGTATTAATTAGCTAGTGGCCTGGAGATTTTGTCGCGACGTACTATTCTTTTTTTGATTTATTAAAACCACTGTCATTAATATAGTTATTTACTAAAATTGTAATTTTCCAAACCATAACGTAATCATAGACCTGATACAGGATCGGCTGGGATACTGGAATTTCAATCATAGAACATTAAATGAAATAACTAATAGTTTCTTATAATTATTAATGCATGATCGTTGTTCAATTATCTATAATAAAATAAAATTTATTTCGTCTGTATTCTATTTTATTAATTCAGCAACAAATCTGTTCGTATTTCAAATAAATTAATCTATTAAGTCATATTCCTTGTACTTTCAAATCACAATATTGCCAAGAACTCTTATCTCACGTTCACATCATTCACAAATGTTTTTTCGCCGCAAACTCTAGAAGAGACCGAGTAGTTTTGACTAAAGGAGGAAAAAAAAAATACTCGACTATCTTATACGATTTCTATGTACAAAAGTATTTACAATTCTTCTTACTCACATTAACATAATGCGACACGACGAATGAAAACAAATAATGGTGAACAATAATCAGATTACGAATATTTATGCAAATTCATATTTTTGTAGACTAATTAATGAAAGCATAAATTACCCAAGAATGTACTTTTTTTCCATTAATAACTTCCTGTGTGTCATATTGTTAAATAAAAGTTTTAAATGCATAAAATCCACAGTCCAACGATAACAATCACGCTGAAACACGAGACAATTGAATTCAAGACACGATCAACGTGCGAGATTCTATTCACTACACTCTACACGATGTCATGACACAATGCTTTTTAGATCAATAAATTAACTTATTGATATATCGTCCCTACGTCGTATTATAACGTGGACACTACGTCTAATTCAACTGTTATGATAGACCAGGACAAATCGCGGCCACGAACGTCGCACACGGCTAATGCTTCCGGTATGTTTCAATGAGCATTAGTTGATCATTTTCAACGAGCAAATTGCCAGTTGACTGTCCGGTGCTTTTCCAAAGGGTTTCGTGCCATCGGGGGCGTTATATTTATTCACTTGATATGTTAGCATCGTTTCATACCCAAACACATCCATCCCGAGTTGCTGCGACATACAGAAAACAATGTTAACGATCAAATTCATCTTTTCCCTCGAAGATGAAATAGAGAAGTTACAGAAATAAAATTACCTTATCCGCAATGCAATAAAAAATGCATTTTTTTATAAATTAATGTTTATAATTATATATACGATAAAATATTAGAAAGAACATTTCTGTACGTTGAATTTTCGATGTAAAGAAGGAGAATCACTATGCATGCAACATTCTGCGACAGGAATTTCAAAGAGGATTTTGAAGTTAGATTGCTACACCAACAATCTCCGACATTTTACTTAAGAAGTTTATGTTAGCAATTGCTGGGCTAGATTGGAAGGTTCGAGGATGCCTGACATAACACTAAGAATAACCAGAGCGGTTACAGGTAAGCGTTGCTCTAGCGGTTTATTCAGGAAGAGATATAGCGAAAGGGGCGGCGATTATCTTTATAACCTTGTTGCGAGAGATTTCATAGTGAAAAATGTATCCAAGTAACTTTCTACTATTTTAAACGCGGTTTAATAAATAAAAAGTATTATCCAAGATATTAAGATACCCTAGAAAATATTGTGTAACCTCGAACTACTTCTCCTTTAGAATTTTCTTTGATAATTACTTAATGCTTAATATTTTTGAAACCTGACATTCTTTTTCGTTCTATTGATGAGTTAATAAATCAGATCATTAAAGTACACGATATTCTCTGAAACATTTAAATAAATCAAAAAGAAAATTATGAAGGAATATTACCTGCGTCAGAGGACTGGTGTTTGTGGTGAAGATCCCAGCGTATTCTTTTCTTTTGGCCAGCTGTAAGCAATACTCCTCCATTTCCTTCATTATGATCACATTTTCGGCCGGATTTAGGTCGCCGTTCGTGGACATCATAAAGTTATGGATGATCTGACCCTTTCCTTTTGGCAATTTCCGTTCACGTATCGGCGCCTCCAAGTATTCCAGGAAATCGAATACGATCGTTAACTTCGAGTCGAGTATTAACTCGGGCTCGTCCCATAGATCGAAGTTCAGACCCACACCGATCGTTTTGCCGTCCAACGACGATTTTACAACGAAACTGAGATTTTTCTCGACTAATGGCTCCCAGAGGAGTTCCATCATTATACGATAATCGTTCCTCGATATGTCCGGCATCAGCCATTGTTCCAGGTCCGCCTTACTGTAGAAACTTTCCGTGATGATTCTATTACAGAAAACAGAATGGTACGTTATGCTCGAGATTCTAAAAAGCTTACAATCTAAGAATTTAGCCTATTTAGTTGGTGCTACTTTCAGACTTTAAGGGAGAAACCACCCTTTTTACTCGAAACGTTCCTTCTACTTCTTCGCTTTTAACTCGTAAACTATAAAAGACATCGCAAAACAGTCTAGATAAATTTTAAATCGTTGTCCATATATCGATAGGAAAGAATTTAAAAAAAGAATTATTTTCAAAGAAATTCTTTTCTGAAAATTTTATCTTTACCGATATATGGAGAATTAAAAACGATTTAATATTTTTCTGGTTTTCTGGTTACAAGCGAATAAGTAGAACGTTGTTAGTCTTGTTACATATTTTGAGGTATAGAAACTATTTCCCACTTTTCATCAAAAACGGGTCAAATACGTGGCCCATGACATAAAAAAAAAAACCCTTAAAAGAAAATTACGCTCGATGCACTGTAAAATCGACGTGTACACGGTCCAAGTGAAAAATCCACACGTACTCGATCGCATCCTCTTTGTGGGAGTTGTTCAGCATCTCGTAGTAGTGCTCATCCTCGTTCAGATTCTTCTCGATCGGCGGCTCCTCCGAGCTGGTCCTCATCCGGTCGAGCACCACCGCGAGACTCGCCGCCGTGAGGAACTCCGTGATCCCTATCTCGTAACCCTGATCCCTCAGCTTCGTGACCGTGTAGATCGAGTTCAAGGAGTTGCCTCCCAGCTCGTAGAAATTCGCACCTATCGTCACGTTCGCTCGTCCACCGCGGCCAATCACCGACGCCACTGTGGGAAACAGGACTCTCGCTTTTTCGAGATCCTTCTCCGCCACGCCTGTATAGTCGCAGTTCATGCACACGTCGCTTTCTGTGTAGGATCGGACATCGAAACGATCATTAGACTAATTTCACTTGACTGGGAGTTTCCTTTTTCAGCGAGAAATATGGCAAGTAAAAAATTAAATTCAGAGTGTTGGGTTAACAATTAACGTTTAAACTATGAGAAAGCTTTTAATTAGTAGAGTTTAAATATTAACCCTTCCAGACCTAGTGGTTACATTTGTGTACGTGAGATTTTTTACAATTTCATACAAAGCCTTAGGTACACTGACGTGCAAGCTCGGCTTCCGCTGGGGGAAAATGTGGTGTACTGGAAAGGCCTCCTCCCTTTATTTTATGTCAAATGAACATTCAATTTTACTTTTATTTCAGTACTTGAAATAATTTTACCAAGTGGTAAGAGGCCCAACAAAATATCATCTGAACAGTCTACTGAGTTAAGATGTGTAATTAAATATTGTTTTATTCAGGTCTAAAAGGGTTAAGAAACTTCTAACATTAGTGTAAAAATGCTCGATACATTCTTGCTTAGTTTTCCTGTTTGTAAAACATCATTCATATACTGTCTGAATACCGAGTATGCGACAACAATATACTGACCACCGTTCAGGCTGGAAGATTCATATTGCTTCAGCAATGTCTGCCGATCCGTCTTTCCGTTAGTCAGGAGTGGTATCTTGTCCACTATGAATATTTGTGGTAACATGTACAGAGGTAATGTAGCTTGTAGGAATGACTCAATTTTCTCCGCGCAAGTGGATGAACCGTTCACAGTGGTGACGAATGCGATCAATGCCTAAAAAATCAATTTACCAAAGTCTTCATTAATTTCTATTTTGAATTTATAGATAAATTTAGTATTGAAAATGGGCACACTAGTTAACAGTAATGACATAATGAGGCAATAAATTCAATGGCACCAAAAATGGAACCTCATTATGATGGGACTTCTAATGATTGAAAATTCTAAATTGTCCTAAATGAATTTAGTTTTTTAAGTCGCCAATTCGTACGTTCATTATTTAACCCTAAACGCATTAGAATAAATCCACTTAATACGTTCGTACCTGAGACAGTTCTCCAGGTTTATAACAAAGAACGACCACACTGTCGACATCCGGCGTTTTGACGACCGCCTTCTCCACTTCCGCAAGATCGACACGGTGTCCTCGGACCTTTATCTGCGAATCCACGCGTCCCTCGTACACGACCACACCTTTCGATATCCTGGCGTAATCGCCCGTACGGTAAATCCTCGAGTATCCTGCTCGTGGAACAAGTAACGAACGATCAGTCGATCTTTTTCCCAAATTGTCACGGTTACAGAAACCGATTTAATCGTTTTAAGCAAACTTTTCCAGGTTGCTTTGACATCGTCCAATTGAAATTCAGGATACTTTTATCATCGAATTTATCGTCAGTGGTACAATATTATACAATTAATGTACAATAAATATATACCATTTAATGCAATATTTCTGTAAATTAATGGGCTTTGTCCCGTGAAAATAAATATTATTATTATTATTATAATGTTCAGACGAATTAGGTCTCCGATTTAATTGGATACGTAGCTTCAGTTGCACCGCGAATTTCGAGTATCGAGCGATTTGGAATAAACGGTTGCTTTTTTTATTTAAACGTTAAAATTGTTGTTTGAAGGCAACGTCGGTACCTGGATCGATGGCGTGGGGATTGTCCAGGAATTTTCGGGAGTCGTTGTCGCGAATGTATCCCGCCGCGAGATTCCTTCCAGCTACCATTAGTTCCCCGACTTCACCTTGCGGGACCAGTCGCATTTCCTTGTTCACGATGTAGATGATACAGTTATCTAACGGTTTTCCTATAATTAACACGCTTAACGTTAGATCTGTGGAACGTGTAACACGACAAATTATCTGATTCGAGTGCAAGGAATTTCTAACTCAACTTTCAAGTCAACAATCACGATTTTCCTTCACAATTTTAGATTGTTTCACAGTCTCGTACAGAAACTAGAAGCTATATCATCTACTCTAAATTAACAAATTTTAAAACAAGGTTTAACTCCATTTTATTTTAATTTTACCAGTGATCCTTCAGATTCAAACCTGGAAATTCTCGATCAATAATTTCATCGAACGGAGGAATAATATAAATGTATTATTAATTATTTCGTTATATTTTTCACGTATAAAATCCATAATCTATTGCCGATAGTGTTCCAAAGTACTGAATTTAATTCACCTATGGGAACTTTCTCCGTCGCCTGGAGTTGGTTACGATTGTCCAGAAGATAATACGTGACGTCGCCCATGATCTCTGTGCTCCCATAAAAGTTCGCCAGGATCTTGGCACCATCACCGAAAGTGGTGAAAAATTGTTCGGCCAACGCAACCGGCAACGTTTCACCGGAGCATACCCAAAGCCTCAGGGATTGCAGCACATTTTCCTTGTCCTGAGGCATGACGATAAGTCAAAGTGAATTTTCAATTCTAATAGGATCTTTTATCTATGAAGTGTAATTAATAACCTACTCTTAAACTCAAGTACATAAGCATAGAGTGTAATAGGGAGGGCACCAGCACCAGTCGCTGTATCTGAAACGACAAAAACACGTTTACATGGTTCTCAAAATAGAGAAATTCAAATAAAAAATCTATTAGGTGTACAATTTTATTTGTAGCCCCCACAATTAATTGTTGACTCAAAACTGCCATCATTTTCTCAAGAGAAGTTGAACAAAATATTGTTCATTCGCCAACTGCCCGAGAAATGATGTAAATGTGTAGAAAATGATGGGGAATATTTTCAAAACTAGACTGTAGTTTGGTAATTTTTTTGTAAATAAATAAAAAATCTATAGACAGAAAGTCACGAATGAATTTGTACATCTAATATTTCGTGCTTTTAGGTCCAACCTTGTGCTTGTCCAACACTTGCACGAATTTCTCCGGGTCCTTGGTAACGTGTTTGGGTATAACAACTATGGTACGTCCTTGCAAAAGAGGTCCCCAAATTTCGGACACACTGTCGACGAACGTCAGTGACGTTTTAAACACACAGTGCCTTTCGTCAGCCGCGTAAGGCAACTCCCGCCACTGCCACTGCAGTCGATTCAACACTGTCGCGTGTGGCAGAAGCACTCCTTCAAGTGATAAAAACTGTCATTACTTAAAGAGAATTCTAATAACAAAAGAAGTTCTTTTAGTACTGATCATTAAAGTAGTTTTAAAATTTTCTTCTACATTTCCATCCATTAAGAAGGGTCTCAGAACAAACTGTCCTCCTTAAGTCTTTCAGAGATAGTGACGCCATTTTTTAACCGGTGGAGCACGGCGGCCATCTTTGTTTCGGTTATAGGAATTAGGAAACGAAGTAAATCGTATTAGTTTAATTGGTCAGAACAGTTTCTAAGAAGAATTAATCTCTGTTTCTCCCACAAGAATGAATTTTAGATGAAGCCACCATGTATAAAAGAGTTGAAGATGATTGTAGAGGAGCAAGGGTATATAAAATCGATAAAAAGTACCGAGACTATTTTTTTACCGACCTTTCGGTGTGCCCGTGCTGCCGGAAGTGTACAGAACGATCGCAAGCTGCTCGGGGCTCTCCTGCCGCTCGAGATCGTCCTTCTTCTCGTGCATAGCTCTCTCCACCAGCTGCTCGTAAGTGGTTGTCGCAGTTCCATCGTAAATCGAGGGATCAGCTGGAACATATCGATTCGAATAGAGAACGCTGAGAGCTCACTTTCTACTCGGTGATTCAAACGGTATTGATTAACCCTTTAACGTCCAGACCCTTAAATCGTTATTTAAAAAATTACGAGACTGATACATATGTTGCATTTTGCTATTTTGAAGTCGAAAATATCGATATTGGAAATATCGAACACTGGGCGTTAAAGGATTAAAGATTCCGAAACTTCGATTCGTCCCTCACAAAATCACGAATTTTCAACGTCGGAGTTTCACGGGCTACACGACCGGCTAGCTGTCGATTGAGCGATCGTCGCCAAGCATTCAGGAAGTTATTCCGGGAAAATCACGAGCCGTTGAGGTTCTTTGGTCGACCTTAAACGACGCCCATTTGCATGACCGTCAAGGACCTTCCGTTTACTCCTGGAATCGTTACGAGAACCCAGCGAATCTGGCTCACCTGTGCGCGCAGTTAGTTTACTTTCTTGCGGATCGGCCTTAATATTTTTACGACTCGAATGGTATTTTTTTTCGATTCCCGTCCGAGTAGCGCGTCATAAAACTGAATAGAATGGATACGCCAGTGAATAAACATTATATATAAGAACGAGAAAATGAAATTATTGAAATAAACAAAAATGATTGAATATTGTCTACCATTGTCAAAACAAAAAACTTCACACTCCTATGTTATCTACTTTGTATAGCTCTAGAAATGAAAGTATCGCCCTTCGAAACAAAATAACAATACATCAAGGTACAAATAAAATTACTTTAAATCACTACTTAACCACATAAGGGTATATCACCTTCTCAACAAGTATTCCAACGTCCACAGTAGAATGATACCATCGTACACCAGACAAGGCCAAGAAACGAAACTGTCTTAATAAAATGAAATGGTCTTCCGTAAAAGTGAACCTCTGCTCGACCATACAGAACTGATTCATTTAATGAATGAATTATGAAATACCTCCCGTTTATCCATGCATCACTGACTATATAAATATTGACAGCGAGCTCGTCAAACGCCTGGGAAATCAACCGTTCCGACAAGCAGCAACCAACATGGAAACCGGTTCATGAATCGCCGAATAAACGAGTGGCGTAAAAAACGAAAAGAAAGAAAAAGAGAGAGAATGAGTATGTATCGTTTTACCTCCTTCTTCCGTCACCACCACGAAAGGCCTGGCCTCTTGTAAAACGTGTTTGATTCTCGTCATGGGGAATTCCGCGTCCAGGGGCAAGTACGCCATGCCAGCTTTGACGATCGCCAGCAACACAATCGGAAGTCGATGAGACGGTTTCATGCATACTGCGACAATAGACCCGGACGAGTTCTCAGGTTTCTGTAATTTTCTCAGCACCCTCGCGATCCCATCGGTCAGATCGTTTAGTTCGCCGTAAGACAACGTGTACTCTTCCCCGTGATCGTCTGCAATGATCGAATCGGTAACAGACGAACGGTAAAAAATGGAATACAGTGAATCCTTGATAAATGCTCGAAGGCTCCTCGGCACTGAACATTTATCCTTTAACGCCCAGACCCTTAAATCGTTATTACAAAATTATGAGACTCATATACAGGGAGTCCCAATATTGATTGTATAACTGCGGAGGGGGTGATTCTACATGAGAAAATAAGTTGAAAATGTAGAATAAAATTTTCGCATCTGAGGCTTAGTTTTCGGGTAAATCGAATTTGAAGATTCATTTGTCTCGCGTGTATTCGTCGTGATAGTAAGTAGAAACGGAATGCAGTGAATACTGAACAGACGTGTTAGTCAATTTTCTTGGAGAACGAAGTCTGAAATGGAACAATTTTATTCCATATTTTCGACTTATTTTCTCATGTAGAATCACCCCCTCCCCGGGTGTACTATCAATAATTGGGATACCCTGTATATATTGTATCTTGTTACAAAAATTTTTTTTCCTTTTTTATTTATTTTCAGAGAGAATACTTGAATTTCTCAACCAAAACCATAGAGATCTACGTCACATCAGTGAAACAACAGATTCTTTACGGACAAAAGTTAGATATTAAACGTAGACAGTATTTGTCGGAATTTTAATTTTATTTAATTTTAATTGCCTTCTAAATTTCAAGATCTATTATTGTGCTGAACCTCATTAAAACGTCAGCGTTACATCTGAGGACCACCCAGTGCCGATAAGCCTTCGGACATTCATCGATGATTTGCTGTAACGTGTGTCGAGATATGAAAAAAAAGAGGAAACGTAACTGTGCTAGCCGTTATTAATAGAGTGTCTAACAGAGAATTAAATGTTAATTGACTTCTTCGCGTTCCAACGTTTTTTTCGCGGCAGGAATCCATTCCTTTTGCTCTTTTTTTGCCCTCGCACTGATCGCACCAATGACAGTACCTTTATAGTAGATCGCCAGCTGATTGGTATAATTGGCCGCCGCCTCTCTGAATAATGTATGAAGCAGATCCTTCTTGTTTCCATCGATCAGTCGGCCTTTTAAGACCGACTGCTGCAGAATGCTGCCCATCTCTGCAAGAATTTTCAACGTCACTCGACAGAGTTGCCTTCCCGAGCAACCCTTACACAATACCCCGCGCTTTCGCTCTCGTTCGATCGATCAAGGATCAGTAAAAAATCGATTTTTGGTTTTCAATAAAAGTGGTAGCCTCCCTGAACATTTCAAGGGCGATTGCAACGATTTCTGATGAGTGGAAGACAGTAAATTTCAATTTTCAAAAGCCTGACGACGTATGAAGAGGTAAATACACGTCAACTTCGGAACGCTGTCCTGTAAAACTATGTTTTCTGTAAATTTGTCAGTTTCTCCTCTACAAATTAATTTATCTTATTTAGGAGGATCTGATTATTTTTGGTATCAGAGCAGTTTACAAGAAATAAAAGTTGGAGAAATTACCATAATTATAATAGGGTGTATATTTTTTTATTTTTATCATTCAAGGTCATTTGAAGGTCATAATGTTGCAGGTCGTTGAAATCGTTTTGATATGTACTACAACGTTGTATTACAAAAAGCAGATGTTAATGTGCAAAAAGTATCCATAACCTTGAAAACTCGAAAAAAGAATGACCTTGAGAAGCAAGTCATGAACCATAACATTCGATTATAGCAATCGGAAGTTCAAAGAATAAATATACTTTTTCTAGGGAATGGTAGCAAACTTCTTTGAAAACGTTGCACGTGCTGGTCTGCTAATGATGACTTGAGTTCATCGGCGCAACCTTGTTGCAGCAGGTGCAACCGCGTTCGTAATTACAACCTTGCCGTAATTGCAAGATTATTGCTATCTAATCTTTCCGGCGTGTTTGAAAAATTGGGGCACAGGACGGTGTGACGTGCGCCACTCACCGATTTCATAACAATACAGAAACAAAGCATTATCTGTTTAATGAAGAATGCAATTTCGTGGTAAAGGGATGTGACCTTCGTGTGACGGAAAAGGAATACCTGTAGGGTAATCTGGTTCCATACTGGATGACAAAGGGTTGACCGATCTTCGTGAACGATTTGATAGGGAACCTATCAGTTTCGACGGATAGAAGGCAAAGTGTTAATGACAAAAGAATGAAAATTATTTAGATTTTTATATCCAGTCATTAATTTTTATTGTATCGTTATAAAATAATAAGTTGCTGTGGGCATCAATCGTGAACTCTAGTCTCACACTTTTGATTGATAGTGTAGATTGAAGAGAATTGATATGGAAAGTTTTATACTAAAATATAAGAACCTAGAATTTTCTACCTAGACATCTAGCATCTAGTGAAGTTCTATGCTTGGAATTTGTAAAACGTTGTTTAACAAATGGTATTACACTTTCTACGAAATATTTTTGGTGCATCTGCAACATATTCCGACGTACAACAGTGTAACGAAGATTATATACAGGAATCTTGAACTTAATCCTTTCTCGTGAAATATCGATTGATACCTTTGAAGATCGAAGGAAAACAGGATCGATGAAAATCCTCGTATTATCACGAAGAATATTTATTATTCATGTTACAACTTTCTCCCGTTTGCATCGCCGCTAGAAATCGGCCAGAAGTTTAGCAACCCACTGACGGAATCGTTGGAACACGATTATCTCTAACGCAATCTACTTTGTGAATACTTTAACTTCATGCAAGAAAGACTGTTTACATGTACTAGACATTGAACAAAGTAGATAGATTCTGTCAGATTTTACGCTTCTTGCTTGATTTCAATTAAACAAAATAGATAAATAATCACGAGACAAAAAACGACATTCAACTTTTTACGACAATCTGTTTAAGACGAACGTGTACAATTCCGCAGGTTGCACCATTGTACCGTTCACATTCGATCTTTCTGATAGATCGATACAATTTTCCGCCAGACTGAACATGATTAACGACTTAGCTGTCCGTACATGTAAAAAGAACTCTACAGAAGGGGAGCAGAAACGTCTAACAAAATTGATAACTTTCACTTTTATTATTGATCAAATTTACCGAACATGTTTCGACCATCTTTACCATTGTATCGCATCAAGTTTTCGTATTACTTTTTTAGCAAATTCTACCCAACTTTTGTTCTACATTTGGCAGAAAACTTATCAAGCAGTTGCAAAACGATAAAGATAAGCGACGCTGAAGAAATCGGCGAAAAAGTCGCGGAGAATGCGCCTTTCGACTTGGAAAACGGGGCCGTGCACTCAAACGGAAATCGGCAGTACGAAACACACAAATGCGTGAGGTGCTTATATAACACACCGTCTATTATGCAAGCGTCACAAAGAAATCTACATACGCGTCCCGTTAGATGAAAGTGTTTGTCGAGCCGTCGCAGTGCGTTTACGCGGTATTACAGAAAATTCTTACGAAACGCACGAAAGAATTATTCGATACTGAATGGTGTATTGCGACAGTATGGATATCGTAAAATCATTGAATGATAGAAAAGATAATAAAAAGAGTCGTTAACCCGTTTTTTATCGTACTCAATTTCGATTGCGTACGACAGTCCGTTAATCTGTTGACGCTGTGAAACTACTCGCGTATCGATCATAACGGCAATAATCATTCGTGTAATGCAGAATGAACGTCTATTTAAAGTTTATAGAATTTCCATTTGAACATAAGTTACCTGACCGAGTGACGTTAAGCACGCTATAAACGATATCTGCTGGCATAGATATCGAATTCATGGAATTGTTCATCGATCGAATAGGGTGTTCGTAAAGGTGTCTTCCGATTAAGTGACGGTATACCATAAAAGTGAAAGGAAAATCTACTGACGTAGGTATGTTTCACCGGTCAAAACGATTTCGATGATCGATCGAATAATGATAACGATCGGTTAAACGAGAATCGCCAATAGGCAAGTAAAGTAGTTTTAATAACGAGGAAAATACTTTTTTAAAAGTCGCAAATATTTTCCGTGAAATTCTTGAAATTCTTTTAAATAAATTAACGATAGTTAGTATGGAGAATTGATTGGTAGATCAGTCAGAAGATTATCATCAGAAAAAACTTAAGATATTCGAAAGACAAATGAGCCGTTCATTTACCAGACAGATTAAGTCCACTAAAATTATCAAAGAAATTTATTTTAAATATACAAAGTTAAGCACCGATCGAGTGTTTCGGCACTAAAATTTGAAAAAATTCAAAAAGTGTAATTATTCATTTTGGCCTCTGAACGGCTCAGATATTACAATTGGATTCTACCGAAATCTGATCGAACAATAAGTACTCAGATGAGAAATATTTTAAACTGTATTGGCAATACTAACACCTGTTTCCCTTTCACCTGTACTTATTCACCTTACGAATACACGAAAGAAATTCAATGCTCCGCGAGTTCAATGTACTCACAAACACGTTTTCGAAGTAATGTGCCAATTACACTGTTCGATAAGTGCCAAAATAATGAAAGTAAACCTGGTTTTTTGTGTTAATTAAAGATTGTTAAACACAATGCTGTTTTTCCCCTTGCAAGCTACACAGTCTAGTTTTTTAAATATAATGTTTTCTGCTGGATACGCGTACAATTGAATAGGACTTGGCTGGCGCGTCTGTTCATTGAATTCCGTTTCTACTTATTACACACCACAGACAATCTTGAAAGTCGATTTTTTCGAAAACGAAATCTCAAATGAAAGAATTTTATTCTATATTTTCGACTTACTTTGTTTGCGTTAAGTTACATGACACAATATATACCATGTTCACAATTCAATTTTAAAAAATCCTTAATGCAGGGCGAAAAGTGAGATTACCATTGTATTCAGAAATTCAAAATCAAGTAAATAAAACCAGTTTCATTCCAACAGCGTTATTTCCTACTTTGATGAATATTTAACCCTTTAAATCCCAATTATTTATAAATTACCAAAGAAATATTTTGTTGTATTTTTTAACATTTAACATTTTGAAACCGTCTAGTCCCATTTTCATTCGTCGCCATTTCACAAATTGTTTACTTTTATCACATCTTTACATATGATAATTCCCATTATAGTGTTATTGCGCATAATAAAACCCTGTTTTTCGTATCTTTGATCAATAAATCCTCTCGAATTATTGGAAAGGAATCAGAGTATTGTAAATTTCTATTGTATTTGTAACGATGCTAGACACTTGAGTTCCACCAAAATTGAAACAAACAAAGGACCAATAGTGTGTGTATGTTAGTACTCACAGATATGAAAAAATGCATGATACTAACATTTTATTTCGTAATTCAGAGTACGTAGCCATATGGCAACAGTGGGAATGAAAGGGTTAAAAGTTAAGCAAGAAAATTCCATTTGTGGTTTCACGCATACTACATGAATTCCATCGAACCGAACCAAATATATATCACACAAATTGCTATCCATGAGTATACATAGTATACTGCACTGGGTATACCAAAGCTGGCAGCAACCGAACAATTTCGTCGTTCACCAAGCACACATTCGAACGAACAGGGAAACAAAACCGTTTACGAAATTCACGTCGACTCTATATTAAAACGACCACGGTTGTCACGTCACCGATGTCGTTTCGTCACGATCGGACGATTTCTTCGTTCACTCACCTCAGAAACGGTATATATCCCACGGTTCCCTAATCCTTCGACTCGACGTCTACCTGGTCCTGAGGATCCAACGAGAAATGATCCACGATCAACGTCACCGTATTATACACTCGCCTAGGAAACCGTTGAATTCAGGGAGTAACTTTCACTCGTCCGCACGTGTTTTTCCCGTGAGCACAACCGAATCGATCTCTTCTTTTTCCTTCTTCCTCCTTGTCCACTATTCCTCCAACTGTTCCCAGAATCGTGAAATTTTCACGATATTCTCCACTTCGCGAAACTTCGATCCTTTCGCGTTCTATCGTTGATAGATCAACGACACTTCCACCTTTACGAGCGTGTTATCAGCTTTTATTTTGTTGCTGTAGTTTTGTTGTTTCGTTAGAGTTTCTTTGGTTATCCGTATTGGGTGATCGTAGGCTTAGCTACGAATAGTCCAGGCTACGTTCAAGGGCAGCAAA